ATTTTAAATATACAAAAACACAGTGCTTGTATATTTGTATGTTTTTATATTTTTTCAATGCTTTTGAAAGCAATAATAAATAAGAAGGAACAATTTTAAAAAGTGATTTTATATTATCAGCTTTTTGTGAACACATTTTTTTAAATAATATTTCTCTAACATCTAAGTTACCATAATGGGTTAATATTCCTCCTGAATGTATCATTCAGTGGATTTGAATGACTGTGTTCATTTATGTACATGAAAAGGTTTAGTATATAAACATGCCTTTTATTCGGTAACTTACTACTTGTGGGTATATCTATTAAAGTGGGTAATTTTTTAATTCAAGCTTCATGTTTGTAATTTTTTTTGCTTTTTTATGCTTTATGTTTTTCTATTATACTCCCTTTTTCCGGCTCTCATAAAAGTGCCATCATTAACCGAGTAATACATTCTTTAATTATGCAGTCGGCAGAGTTATACTAATAATTTTAAGGAAACATAAAGCTCTAAACACTAACGACCAGTGTAAAGGTACATTCTATTAAATATGTCTAAAACCCTAATCTATCGAGTTTTCTTGGTTTTCTCTCTCTAAAATTATAATTATAATTATAATTATACACACACGCACACACATATATATATATATCATTTTTATTTTATGTGGATTTGGTTTTTGTCATTTAAGTGCAAAAATGTGTAGAGTTATCTTTAAAAATAAGCCGTAGTGTATTTTCTAATATTTAATTTCTGTAACTTCTGACTCAAAGTAATTAAGATATAACTTTTCCAGAAAAGACTCATGTATTCCCTATGTGAAAATATTTTCTTTTTGCCATGGAGATAGGGGCTAGATTAGGAGCATCATGTGCTTGGTGCTGTCAGACAGGAAGCAGCAGAGGCGGGGCCCCAGCAAGCGGACGCCTAAAATGCCCGATTAGAGAGTCACCGCCACCTTGGCCGGCTTAGATTGCCATCTGGCATATCGAGTCGATCCAGGCTGGCCAGGCCTATTTTCAGTGGTAGCCCTGGAGCTGGTGCTCAAGTTGCCCCTATATTAAAGTGACATTAAAGGCTAAAGTACCCCAACCCCTCCCCCCCCCCGCAGTGCTAAAGTAAGGACTTACCTTAAATTATGCCTCTTAATCCGATCTTCTTTTCTGTAGTTTTTAGCTGTCCCTCCAGCGCTGGTGCGGGTCCCCGATCCAGCGCTGACTCCTCTGTCCTCCTCTTCTCTGATGTCCCACGGAGTCTGTGCGGGTGCACGCTGCTCCATAGACTTATCTTATGTCTCTCCTCGTCTCCCGGCCGAACATCTGAACTGCGCATGCGCCCACCCCAAGATCCTTTGCGGCCACCCGAGAAATTTTTAGATGTTTGGACGGGAGCACGCGACGGAGACACAGGTAAGAATTAACCCTTTCAAAAAGTTTTTTTTTAATCGTTTTGCATATATCTAATATATGCAAAAACATGCAAGGGTTTAATAACCCTTTAATCTGGCCCTGCATGGAGAATCAACTTTTAGTGTTTTAGGGGGGCGAACTAATTGGAGGCTCCATAGCAAAGAAAATGTAATCTCAAGCAGGAAACACTCTTTAAAAAGATAACACAGAGGGCAGCTCAGGGTGCCACTTCCAATTCTATTTTGGTTCACGTTAATGACTTCAGAGATAAGCTCTTTAATGACTGCTGAGAGATGATTTCTTAGACATACAAACAATCTGTTTTTTTCAATTAGGACAGACCTGACCCATAGACTTGTATTGAGAGAGCAGAAGTACAGTCATCATGCAGCAATCCTATGAAGAAAGTAATGAGCAAACATGTCTGCCCCCATAAATGTATATACAAACTATACACAGAAACAACATTTTTAAAATGCTGACACTTATCAGTAAGATTATTTACATTAATTTCATCACATTTACATATATACCTAAAAAGTTGTAAAAAAAAAAAAGCTATAGTTTCCCTTCAAGGTGGACCCTGTACTATAATGCAAAATGTATAAAAAAAAAACACTTGCAAAGATAAGTTAAGAAACACTACTTACCACCACCTTCCATGCGGAATACAGTAACTTTATCATCATCTTTCTGGCAAGATCTTGTGAATTATAAGGGGTTAAGTTATATAAAAGAGAACTATGGAGTAAGTGTTTTTTCCTAATGTTCTCTTTAGGGTCACAGGAGAACATATACGAACGTCCTCCCGTGACCCAGAGCTCAGTATATCGCGGGCTTTTGCCTGCTATATACTGAGAGCTCTGCAGCCTGGGACGGATCCCGACATTACTGTTGAGATTCATCTAGCTGCGTGAATGACTGCTGGCTCTGCCTATCTAGAGGCAGAGCCAGCTGTGCCCGCCCCCTCCCCCACCATATGTTCCTCCACTCAGCGCTGGAGGATCAGAGAGGCGGGAGGAATCCCTGCGGAGAGTGGTGACTAACAGTCACTGCTTTCTGCAGGGAGACGATCGGGAAGTGAGCAGATCGGCAGCATGTTTCTGATCACTTCCCGATCGATAGAGCCGACCTGTGACAGCTTCTTTGTCACAGGTCGGCTCCAACTATGAGGATGAGTGGAAATTACTCACCTCATAGATCTCCTTTAAAGTAAATAGGTTGTTTACTTTGCAAGGTCATTTTCGTTTTTCAGGGCAAAAAAACCCCTGTATTTTTGCTTGTGAATGATTATTCACATCAAATCCTTAGTATCCGATGTCAGCAGATGCCGATAGAAGGTAACACAAATGTATGGGTGTGAATGGGACCAGTTCACGCTGCTACATTGTGTTGTTACGTTGCAGCGTAATGAAAACAAAAAAGTAATGCATGGTCTACTTTTTTTCAGTGCAACCTAACGCAATGTGTCAAAAACGGATTTCAGCGCAACGGAACAGAACGCTGATTGAAAAAAAACACACATTTAATTTAAAATAAGATTGGCAAAATAGAAAAAAAAAAGTTTTAAAAAAAATGCAACAAAATTTAATGCAGCAGAAGTCAACGGAAGTTAATACTGCAAGTCAAAAGATCTCCGGTGACTTACATTTTGTGTCCAATTTTGGTGTGAAGGGGCTTTAAATGATGAAAGTCAGCAAAGCTTCATCTTAGTCTTATTATTCTTGTTTTCCAGCAAAGTGAAAATTCTCTTGCAAAGTGAACGGCTGTCACGATCTGGGATCAGGCTCAGAGTCCAGCAGCTGAAACAACTGGCAAATTTGTGGTATAACAGGCCGGGTTTGGTACACAAGCAGATGGTAGAAGCATAGGAGCAGGCAGAAGCGTAGTCAGTGAACAAGCCGATGTCAGCAGCCAAAGGTATCGGGCATGAAGCAGAAGACGATGAGAGTAGTCGGTGAATCAGCAGGCAAAGGTCGGTACACGAGTAGCAGTATGAGAGGATTGTATCACAGGAGGAGCAAGGAAGCAAGATTTTGGCAGGAGGACAATAATCTGGCAACCAGGAAGTGCAGAGGCGTGGCTTAGGCATAGCTAGCAAGTTCAAAGGAGGAGCAAGGAGTTCAGCAGAGATTAGGTATAACTGAGGATTACACAGGAGACCAGGCAAGGAGTTATCCAAGGTTCTAAAGGTGGCTCAGCAGGTAGAACTGCTGCCAGCTACAGCAGAGGCCCTGGGTTCAGATCCGGTTCCTGACAACGGCCTATTTGCCTTTTGTATATCAACCCCTAAGTATTCTAAATGTCATGAGGGGTCTTGGGGGATTCAGTGCTCCTTAATCTTGCCTGAAAGATGTCCCTCGGAGATCCCACCGCACCCCTTACCAGTAGACCCCTGTATCAAACGGGTGCTGAATTACTGCGGATGGAGCCGCTCCAATAAATCCACAAACAAGATGCACACCAGCACACCGGACGATAGTTCATTGACATACATTTTGGTGTGCTGGTGTGCATCTTGTTCCCCTCAAAGATGGCGATGCCCCCCACGCCTGGGTGGTGAGAGTGGAAGCTTCTGGGAAGGTAGCAATATCTTTTCACTTTTCTCTGCAGGTGTTTTTTTTTCTACAAGTGAAATACAAGGATTGTACATTGGTAGGGTAGAGTGGGGGGGGTCCACTATTGAATAAGCGGACCTTGCATTTTGGTGCAAGGTCGGCTTTAACTATTCTTTTTTTTTAGGGATGCACTGATACCAGTGACGATACTTGGCATTTTCATGAGAACTACCAGGGTTGCAGCTGAGACCTGTCTCTGGCGCTCCACCACTGTCCTGAAATCATTAGTCAATATTGTTTTAGAAAAACTGTCACATGGCAATAAACAAAAATGTATCAGTACTCGTATCTGTGAGGACTTGGGCAAGTATCAGTACTTGTACTTGCAAAAAAGGTATCGGTGCATAACTTATATATATATTTATTAAAAACAAAATCATGCAATAAAACAGAGATGTACAAATCCCAGGAGCTCCGTGTGCTCCTTACAAATGACAGCGGCCTCCTAACTTTTGTATTCTTCTCTAGTCTAGTCTTTGAGCTCGAAAAGTATCTGTGCTTGTACCGAGTGCGGTACTTGGTATCGGTGCATCCCTAATTATTTTATATTTTTAGTTAGTTTACTTGCGATTATTATTTTAATTTTACTGAGTATTTGCTTTCCTGCTTCCAGGGCATGTTTTATTGGACATCTTCCTTTCTCCCTGTTTTTTTTTCTATGCAGGATATCAAACATTCAAGTCAGCCTTGGATCCAGTAGAACAAACAATTTAATATCTCTACAACGAGCCAACCAACATACATGCACTAGGCATAATTTGAAGGAAAGATAAGTCCTACAAAGATGTATATAAACTTTTAGGGGTCATGACACCCAGAGGAAAGTCATGTGAACCTGGGAGGAGCACTGACACTCATTGAAGTTTGCTGTGAATGACCACTGTTGTGACGCAGTAGTGTCTTCAAACATAACATTAGCAAACACTCTACAGTACAACTACGGTGTCTTGTGAGGTCATCTGGTCCAGCCTCAACACAGAGACTTGTTTCCTCAGCCTTATCCATCCAACTCTTAAAACATCTGCCTTAGATAGTCCTCGTTCTGGCTACAAGTCCAAGAAGCCTTCCAGGGACCGAGTCCTCCAAAAAGGATCCACCTTTTCCAGAGAATTCAGAGGTGGCCCATTACAAAATTCCTACAAATGATGCTTTTTAGGTCATAGATATACGCTTCCTGGTTTTCCAGAAGATGGTTTTAATTTCCGTGTTTATCATTTCCTGCCAGTCCTCCCTAGAAGAAAACAACAGAAACAATTGAAATAAAAAAAAACAGGAACAATTTACATTTAAAATAAAAGACTAATTTAAATTGTACGTACACCCAAAATCTATTTCTTAATTTTATACCTCACCGTATTCAGCTTTCTTAAGCAAATCTTTTGCAAAGGTTCTTACCTGGAGATCCTGCCAATAGCAGCACTTGGTATTGCAGGCTGACAATGTTAAGCCTTTGCCTTGTAATTAAAACAGGGGTGTCAGCCTACCCTGCATGCTTGGCCAACCCATTAAGTTATAACAAGTACCTTAATTATAAGCACATACAGTATATTCTAATGATAGGACTGTGCATAGCAGTGTGAAGGTGCCCATACACTGGTCGAATTTTGGACCGTTTTTATTGTACCTGCCGAAATTCGCACAATGTGTGGGGCTGTCGGCTCCCTTTCAGTCGCCATTCCTCGATCAGCTGATTGATGGAGCCGGCTGTAAGCCGCTATCGGCTATGTAATACAGGGCTCCGTGCATCTTCTTGCAGTGTCAGATGAAACTGTCAGGAGAGTACACGGAGATGGGCCAGTGCGTGAGGCAGTGGAGGATGTGCTATGGGAGGTGATCCTAGTGCATGCAGGAGTCGGCTACGCGTTTCGAGGAGGTTCCTCTTTGTCAAGCCACAGAATAGATACTGACAGTTTCATCTGACACTGCGTGAAGACGCATGGAGCCCTGTATTACATAGCCGATCGCGGCTTACCGCCTCCCCTTTCAGCCGCCGTGGCTCGGCCTGGCCAGCTGAGTACGTGGTTTTGGCTGACACCTCGTTCTCCCACTCCAGTCTGACAGCCATTCACTTCCCACCTGTCAGCATGAAAGACTCGACCAGATAGACCCTGAAGGGAACCCTGTGAGAGACATCAGGGCACGTTTGCTCACATCCCAATTGTAAGTCATCATTATTTCCATCTTACAGGGCCAGTCACATTATGGCTGTCCGCACTCCAATTTGACATGTATGTGCCCTAGCCAAGTGTGCACATATATTGTTTAGTCCTTTGGTTTACCCACGTGAATTTTAGGTAATTGCGCTCCTCAGAAAAGTGTTTTGTGTTGGGTTGTGGTACACAGGGTCCCTCCCCCTGTATTGAGGAGCTTTGCACACCATCCCCTAGCAGTTAACCTTCTTACCTGTGTTTGTCCTACAGGAGTGTGCTCTAACAATTGTGTTTTTCAGGAGACCAAATTACACACACAGCTGATAACACACAGAAGAGACCTACCTTTGTCCTAGGAGAGATGAACTCATCTATAAGGAACCCTTTCTGAACCTGAGCTCCTCCAAAGTTCTATTGGCACTTCAACCCAATCAGCTGTTCAGACTGAACCTGAGCTCATCCCTAGACAGCTGAAGTTTAGGCTGCAGATGCCATCAACAGCTATGCAGGTAGTGCTGGGCTTTCTTATTAGAGAGCCCATGTTGCTCTGCAAACTAAGCCTTGAGGGCTCCCTGTAATAAATGTCTTTGTAACATAAAGATGTACTACAAGTAGATACAAAACATTTAAAACATCAGTTTATGAACTTTTATCAACTAAATATTTAACCTCCCACCCTTGAAGAGGTTATCTATTTGGCAGAGCTTGGCTGCAACTCCTTTTCTTACACCCTCCCTTTAAGGAGGTGATTAGTACCATATTAATGTTTAAGGTTGTATGCTTTTTGTCTTTCACTTGCCTAGGAGTTTACTTGGTTTGGTGATTTTTATATTGTGTGGCTACCCTTTAAAGTCTTAGCCATTTGAATCATAGGGCTACCATGGCATTTGAGGCCACTGTTAATTTAATAAATGCATTTGAACATCTTTAGAAGGGCCAGAATGCTATGCTTTTGAAGAATAACCTAAGCACACTTTCTTTGCTACATACACATTACCTCCTGATGGCTCTTGTGCAACAAAGGGTATAATAACCCATCTGCAGCCAGTGGCGGAACTACCGCCGGTGCAGGCGGTGCGGGCGCCCGGGGCCTCAGGCTCTGGGGGGGCATGGGCAAAAAAAAATCTTGCACCAGGGCCCTTTGTTCCTTAGCTCCGCCACTGTCTGCAGCTGCAGCCCTTGTTGGGCTCTAAAACAAGACAACAACTTGTCCTCCTATGGCGGTTAATATGAATGCCTTTGTAAAGACCAGTGTTGATGGGCTTTTGTGGGAATACGAGAGCAGCAGGATGCAGGTCAAATGCATGTCAGAAGGAGAGTAACTGCAGGTCAAATGCACCAGTAATGAATTTTAAATTATCTAAAAGCATCTCAACTGATGTTAAAAGAAAGTTGCCTTTACAGCCCAAAGCCTGTCAACACAGGCCCTAAGGCCACAGCAGCCCAGCCTCCCTACAGTTACATCAAGATGGATAATGGAATGTAATCTAAGGGCTGTCCCTACACTATTCGCTGCCTTAAGCAGAGGGGAGGGATTGTGCTGCCAGTGGTCGTTCCAGGGGGATGCTGTCAGTGGCTCTGTCGGGTCGGGCGTCCCACCCAGCTCACTGACGTCACTGAGCACCAAGAATTTTGAGGGATGGCAGTCTGAGCATCCTGCTCAGCTCCTGGCAAATGGTGACATCACTGAGCTGGCCAGGAAGCCAGACAGAGTGTCACTGCTTGCTAAGAGCTCTTAGCAACCTGTGACTCTGTGGCCCCACGCCTGCCGCCTCTCAACGACATACTGCCTGAGGCAAAGGCCTCAGGCTGTCTCATTATAAGGATGGCCCTGCCTGGTACTTCCTGGTGCAATGCACATATGCATACACTAAGAATGAGTCCCTCAAGTAAAAAAAGATTAAACCACACTCACAACAGCCAAAGCCACAGACTGTCACACCGAAAACCCTCCTGAACTAGTAATTGCAACTATGCTGCAGTCAGAAAGTCCAACTGTCTAACCGTAATCTGATTTATCATGTAGTCAGCTCTCCCGTGAATGCTACTTTTGTTCCCCATGGTCTCTGTGTGTATTGTCAAATAGCCACCACTCCAAGCTCACTCCTGTGATGGACTACAATCTCATGTTTAGTTTACTAATTTGTATTGATATTGTAGTCCATCACAGGAGTGAGCTTGGGGCGGTAACTACTTTACAACACACACACACACACAGGGACCATGGGGACCATAAGTAGCCCCCCGCCAGAAGGAAGGACAGTGTCAGCACCATTGCGGAGACGATTTGAGGATCTACAGCCGAGTGATAGACAAACAAGATACATTTTTGTTGATAGTTACGGTTCTTGAATGTATTTTTAAGATTCAACTCCAGAGTTTAGTGTCACTTTAAGCAGCAATATGGTCATGGTAAAGCCATATATTTGCTTTATAAATAACCCCTTAAGACCAGGTAGTACACTGGGATAGAAGGGAGGAGCAACACAAAGTAGTAGATCAAGGGGGGCAGAACATAAATATCCAATCATGTGATACTGAAGCTCAATAAGCTGGACCCAATTGGGTTGATTTACTAAAGGTCTTAGTTCAGTGAAAGTGTATTCATTTCTATCATCCAATCATGTGCAAAGAAAATTGCCTTTTTTCTAGGGCTGTGCAAATTAACGATTCATTTCTCGATTAATCTTTTTGATCGATTAACATTTTTTTGATCGCTAATGAAAATACTCACCTCTCCGCCGGCTTCCGGGAGTCCCGTCGGAGATCCGGTGATGTCACAGACATCGACGTCACTGGACTCCTCCCCCCTTCCCCAAGTGGCTCTGTCGGCTGACAAAGGGAAGGCGGGAGGAGTCTGGTGACGTCAATGTCCCCAAGTGGCTCCGTCGGCTAGGAGGACATCTCCCCCCTTCCCTTCGTTAGCCAACGGAGCCACTTGGGGACATTGACGTCACCGGACTCCTTCCCCTTTCCCTTCGTCAGCCGACGGAGCCACGTGAGTTTGCCCAAGAAACTTTGAGCGCCAGCCAAGGCATTGGCCTATACACATACAGCACAGCAATGAAGTTATAACGTGAACTAGGATCACACTAATCCAGCACGTTATTATTCTGAGTTGCCCCACTCATGCGGCGGCCATATTGAGTGGGGCACGTGAGATTAATAACGTGCTGGATTAGTGTGATCCTAGTTCATTTTATTACTTCATTGCTGTGCTGTATGTGTATAGGCCAATGTAGTTGGGTCTGTATGTGCGTTATAATTAATCAAAATTAATCGATGAAAAAAATTTTAATCAGTAACAGCCCTACTTTTTTCCAATTCCTTTCCACGCGATTGTGTGTTCAAAGTGAACACAGGTTCACCTTTGCTTAATCACATTGGAAATGTTCTATTCAACAAGCTGACGCAGAAGGGTAATGCATGGTGAGTGCTTGTAGATATGCGTGCAAAAATAAATAATAATAAAAAACAAATGAAAAAAAGAAAAATGTCCACACGTGGTAGATTCTAGAAGGCATACACTGACATGCACACACACACACACACACACACACAACAACCAGACATAGGCCGTTTTGCCTCTTCCTCATACCTCTGCCTCCTGTCTAGAAAGCATCTTTTCAGCTTTCCTCCTTTTGAACTCAGCAATTTCCTCCGCTGTTAAACCATGGGAAATACACCTGTAGACATATATATGTTATTAGTAGAGTGACTTTGTCCCTGAAACAAGGAGAAATATCACCTTATAGGCACAACTTTTTTTTCTTTACATTAAAAAAAAAGTTTAATCCTAACGTATGAATTAATACATTCGGAGGGTTCCATAAAATTTGTATCCAAATCTGCCTGGAAATGATTCCCTTAAAGCCTATGAGTGCGGCTTCTGTAAGCTCTCTAAGAACAAGCAATGCGATTCCTGATGAACAGTATACGTTATGATGATGTAATTACTCTATTAGAAAAGGATCGTCCAGGACCATTTTAAACTGGCCCAGCATAGGTCAGGGAAAGGTAGCATTCCCACTGCTAGGGTACAGTAGTGAGCAAATTACATGGATGGGCTCAGTAAATACCCACATCCATCGCTCACTACTGGGGCCTCTGTCGATGGGCTCGTGTCAATGGCAACAGTGTCACATTAGCTTGAGATGCTTCTGAGACCATTTAGAATTAAACGATAGTGCATTTGACCTGCTTCTGACCTGCATTTCACCTGCTTCAAGCCGGTTTTGCATTCATATAGACTTGTGTGGGAATGCAAAACCCGTTTAAAGTGAACAAAAACCTGTTGACTTAGGCCGTTATAGTAATCCACCATTTAATGGAGATGGACATTCCCTCACCCTGCAGCGCCGTAAGGCGGCCGCCTGACTTGCCTTGCGGTAGCGCCGGGCCTGGACATAGGCAGGCATGTTTGATGTCCAGCCGGGGTGATAACTATGGATTCTTCCATAGATACAATGAATAAAAGAGACATGAAGAGACAGGAAGTGTGTTACTGACAGGATCACCGGGGTGAAAATTAAGGAACGAAAACCTGAAGGAGAAAACTAATGCAGCCACCACATCTAAGGACTGGTAAGCTGCAATGTATTATGTTTTATTCTTGAGTTTGAATGCACTTTAATAATCATGCCTTGACTCTCTTTCTTTCTAACTCTCTGCAATTCAATGACACCCATATCACAAGTTTTACCGCAACTTCATCATCAATATTCAGGAAAGGTTCATCCATATATAATTCTGGCGGCATATTACCAGTGTAATGTTTATTTACATGTCCTGCAGTTCCTCAAATCCCTCTTCTACAGAAACGTTTCTTTTATTATGCCGGTCGCTGGATTTATTTTGTCTGCTGTTATACATTTATTTTCCTCCTTTTACATCTTTTTCAGTTCCAATTATCAAGTTTAGAACGCTGCAAGCGGTTTTCATTGTGCTGAGATATTGCCCTATTAAAGACAATTTATGGAACCCCACAAAAGCAATGCCTGGAAGACGCTGACATTAATCAACATCCGCCGCGCGTTTTTATGACAACATATAAGTTCGGCGTATGTTGGCTAAAGACGGTGCTTTATATGCAAAGCAAACAGCGGGGGGAAGAAGACTGAGCTCTGCCATAACACTATTATATATAATCACATTTATAGGTGCAGGATCAGGAATTTCAAATCTTTTTTCAGGGATGCCAATAAGTTGGGAAAAATGTAACAAAAGCATAAAAACAGACTTAAGAGAATGTACAATGTTTTACATTACTGTATACAATGTAGAAGGGCACATGACTTATTTTAGATGGGTTCCTTATTTTATCTCATGATCATTTCACATCAAACTGTTTAAAGGTGAAGTTTAATCTGATTGCATTTTGTCTTTTCTGGTTCCCTTCTTCACTTATCAACATGCAAAGGCCTCCGCTCTTCCAAAGACATCCTGCTTTCCAGCTCCCTCGTCAACTCCTACCATACTCGCCTCCAGGACTTCTCTAGAGTCTCTCCCTTCCTCTGGAACTCTTTACCCCAACCTGTCCTAACTCCAATTCTGCCTGCTTTTAGGCGATCCCTTAAGACTCATCTCTTCAGGGAAGCCACTTATAAAGCCATCCACAAGTCTGCCCCCGGCTGTTTCTCCAACCTTGTCTCAAAGTATCACCCTAACCATCCCCTCTGCTTTTCCCAAGACCTCCTGCTCTCTAGCTCCCTCGTCAACTACTCCCATGCTCGCCTCCAGGACTTCTCTAGAGTTTATCCAATCCTTTGTAACTCCCTACAACAACCGGTCCAGCTATGTCCTACTCTGATTGCCTTTAGGCGATCTCTTAAGACTCATCTCTTCAGGGAAGCCTATCCCACCTCAACCCAACCATTCAACCATCACGTTCTCAAACAAATCATCGCCACACAGCTACCTCCTCATTTATCACTGGCCCCTCCCTCTTAGACTGTAAGCCCTCAGGGGCAGGGCCCTCCTTACCATCTTGTCTTGACTTGTATTGTGATTGTAATGTCTTCCTTATATTGTAAAGCGCTGCGCAAGCTGTTGGCGCTATATAAATCCTGTGTAATAATAATAATGCAAATAAAATTTTATTATAGAACTTATTTTAGACCCTGTGATGTCATAACTGGGTCTCTGTACTTCTTTCTTTTTATTGTTTTGCCTTCCCTTATCAACATGCTAATGTTTTTTTAAAATCTTTGCATTTTCATTACACACCTTGTTTTAGGTTTAGTGATGTAATCGCTGGGTCTTTATACTTCTCTACGTAATGGACAATCATGGCTGGTGGAAGGAACTGGCAGGGGGCTGTACATAGCTTCCTGAAAACACCACAGCATCCGGGACCAGCACAGTGCATCTCTGTGGCTGAACCAGAGAGATCTTGCACTGGAGATGTGCTGACCTCCCTCAGATTCAGCCACAGAGACCACTGAAACCGAACGCAATAATGATTTTGTCACTTCCAGTCTCAGGCTGTCATTCCTCCAGATGCTGGGACTGGAGAAGAAGCTGATGACGCACAATCTGTGCTTCATCAGCTTCTTTTGGGTTCCTAGGTGACATTAGGGGTCTAATAGAAACCTAATGTCTCCATAAAGAGGACTTGTCACTCTTCACTCGATCAACAAGGGAAGTTGCTGAGTGGTCGTCAGCTTCTGCTTCCTCTGACCTGCCCTGTGCACTTCTCCTGGGATTTGACTTGTTTCGCAATATCTCGATCCTCTGGATTCTGACTCTGGCTTTGTATCCTGACTATGCTTCCTGGTTGCTTTTTTATACCTTCTCTGCCCGGCTGTGCATGACTTTGGCTTGCTTCACGACTTCGTTCCTGGCTTACTCCCTGTGTGTACCTGCGTTGCCCGGCTTTGTTTGACCTTCAGCTTGCCTCTAACTCTGCTGCAGATGAGCCAGTTAAAGGCACTCATTCTTCTCCAAGCTCCTGCTCAACTCCAGGGATTGCTGGACAGGAGGTGCAAGAGATACCACTGCATTACTCGGCCTCCATCAGGTACGTCACCAGGGCGATGGAAAAATTCCAAATCTACTGGCAGGATCAACAAGTAATAAAGCTATATACAGGAGGGACTGAGAAATTCTAAAAACTATAACATATAAATTATTTTTTATTTTACACGTAGGTACACTTTTTGTTCAGGGTTAGGACTTGTGTCAATGGGTTTTCTGTTCCCATACAAGTGTATGGGAATACAAAACCAGCCAGAAGCAGTTGAAATGCAGATCCGCAGGACGTTAACTGCAAGTCAAATGCGCCTCTCAATTAATTCTGAATGATCTCAGAAGAGTAATAAAATTATGTCAACCTGATGCTACCAACACAAGCCCAAAACCCATCAACACATGCCCATAAGGTTACATTTAGTTCTTGTTCACACCTAGGCGTTTTGTCACTCAAAGCTAAACACGATGAAACGCTTAAGACAGGGAATTCCATTCAATTCTATGGCCCCTGCTCACAGCTTTGTCACCAGCAAAAAAATGCCTGTCACTGGAAAAAGTACATGAGCTACTTTTTGGCGGAATACAGTTCTTTTTGGTCCCCTAGACGTTGTGCAACAAAACGCTCAAGTGTGAACAGGGGCCATGGAAATGAAAGGGAGGCCTTGTCTTAAAGGAGAACTATGGGGTCAGTGCTTTTCCCCATAGTTCTCCTTAGGGTAATGGGAGGACACAAACTAGCGTCCTCCCGTCACCCAAAGCTCAGCAGTGGCGTAACAACCGGGGGGCAGCCGGGTCGCGGGCCCCGGGCGCCAGCTGGGGGGGGGGCGCTGGCCACCGGGCTGTGACTGTAAGAAACTTACCTGGCCGTATCCTCAGAGCGGCGTTCGGCTCCGCCCACTCCCTCGGCGTGACTCCGGAAGCCGCAGCTGTCCCCGGGAGATTCGAAATGCTCAGTGTCTTAGTATACCTAAAGCACTGAGCATTTCGCGGCCGGCTACCACTGTCACAGTTGCTCCATCCTATCCCTCGGCTCCTACCCTCCACGACGAGGCAGTCTGCCTGTGTGATCTGCAGCCTGTCAGTTTCCCTGCTTGCTGACAAGAGCTCTGCAGTCCGTCCTGTGAGACCTTCAGCTTGTCGGCTCCTCTGTCTGGAGATAGGCAATCTCCTTCCTCTGCATGTTAAACTGGGTGAAGGGGAAATAGCTGGACCCTGCTGCAGGATTTCTAAGCCCAGATCACAGCACTCATGATGCGCTTCCTTAAAGGCACAGTACACCAGAACAACCACTCTCAACAACTACCAGCCGTGATCAAGAGGAGCAAGCTGTACATTCAGAGCAACTAATAGCAAGTATCTCTTTATATTTCTATCATTTGGACATATGCTATTTGACGTCTGTATAAAGAAATACTCTTGCACAGGCGTTCAGTTATAGTCTCATTGAACTAAAGTTGGAGTCCCCCTGACACTTGCTCATTATTTCTGCTATACTTTAATCGTACGCTATTGATGTCTGTATGAAGAGAGGCAATTGCCTAAGATTTGCAATCCATTCACAAAACCGTGAGTTTCTCGTCCAAATCAATTTATTACATTGTAAGAGTTTCAGTGACAAGCGAGACCCGGCGAATGAAAGGCTGCAGCGGCGTGGAATTCCGGGTGGTAAGTTGCTTCCTACATTTAATCCTGCTTTGCACAAGCAGGACTAAATGTA